GAGGAATTAATCTTATTGGTTGTCCACAGTTCTGCCCCACTTTATGCTCACCTTGCAAGTTCCCATTTTTCCCCATCCTTGGGCCCATCTCAGCCCTTGATTTTACTCTCTAGAAGCCCCTAGAAAATAGAGTCCTGGCAACTAACTCAGGAACACTTCTGTCTCTTTCAGACAGAAGCTTTCTTTCTCTCAATAAATATACTCTGCTCTTAACTTCCGCTGGTCTTAAAATTCATTCTGCATTTTTGAGCCAAATTTCAAGGAGGACAGACTGGGGTAGAAAACTCTGCCTCCTCTTAGCCTCTTGGTGGGAAACACAAGTATCCTGGCACACCCAGTTTGCCTCCTGAGCTGTTGGCCAGGGAGACCCATCAGCCCAAGCCTTTGCATGCCCAGGAATCTTCCGATACCTGGATTTCTGCAGAATTGTTGCCTCTATTCCCAGCTTCCCAAATAACCTCAATCTTGCAGCCTCCAGGATGGTGAGAAAATAAATTTCTGTTGTTTAACCCATCTAGATTTTAACTTGCTAAGAGTGCTTCCTATCTGTCAAGCATCGATAGACACTTGCAGATTATCTCATTTCATCAGCCCTGTAACCCAGAAAGAGTGGATGATCTTATGATATCCATTTATAAATTAGGAGATGAGGTTTAGGCCAGGCTCACAGCACTTGGGAGGCTGAGGCAGGAAGATCACTGTTTGAGGTCAGTCTGGACTACATAGTGAGCTCAAGGCCAGCTTGAACTACCTAGTGAAACTCTGTCTCAACAACAACAACAAAAAAGATGAAGGTTTAGAGAAGGGAAACAATTCCGTTGAGCTCTCCCAGAGACCTGAGCAGAGGAGCTGAGAACTGAACCCAGACTCTGGGACCCTCAGAACTTTCCTCTTAACTACTAGAACATATTGAGGCTAACAAATTGTCTACCTTTTCCAACCAATGTTCCCAACCTTAGAGAGACAGCGTTGCTCAGGCAGGAAGTGCCTGACCCTGGGTCCACGGAGGCTTCTGCGATATACCCAATAATCCCACTTGATAAAAACCTGAACGCCGTCTCTGAGCTGAGGACAAGCTTGCTCACTGGACTGCTTTCTCGGGAGACATTTTAAAAATGCTGTCTTCCCTCTTAACCCTCATTACTCGCCTCCATAAAACAGTCACCATAGGACCATCAAGGAAGCAAGCCTGGCCAGAGAAAGCTCCTTCTGGGGCTGAGCTCACGGCTGAGTATAGAAGTGGAGCTGTTTCAGCATCATTTCCCAGTTCCTGCTAATGTGAAAGAACATTTGTCATTGGCTTCAGCAGAACTCATCCGAATAAATGATAGTGCTGTGCGAAGATGGTTGGTTGGTGGCCAAATTACTGGAGACAAGTGCTCGCCACATGTTTGGCCCTGACACTGGCTTGATGCAGTGTAGAGTCCTCGCCTGGCCTCCAGCTGCTGCCTTTTCTGCTGCGTCTTCTGCAACTGCTGCAGCCCAAGTGGCAGATGCCGACTCCCAGGGCCTCTCGTGGGAGTTTGCAGGGGGACCTGGCAGGGCTGCACTGACTTCTCCAGACCCTGGGGCCTCAGCCTTTCCCCTCCTCTTCCCTTCTACTGTAGAGAAGCCTGGAAGCCACGTGATGTGGATGAATAATAATAACATTAACTGCCACTGCTACTGAGCCACTAGCACCAGGTCTAGCTCAGTCAACCCACATCTCTTGGTCCTGTTTTGCAGACAAAGCAAGTAGCAGATCCTGGCTCGGAAACAGCAAGTCTTGACACCCCATGACATCAGCCTACGGAGTCTGAATAGCCAGATGTTTGCAATATCCTAGAGCAGCAGGTTGTGTCTGAGCAGATGGATCCATTTGTCAGGGCTGCCATATCCTAGCACCAGACTGGGGTGCAGTATAATAGAACATGTATCCTTCCGCACGGGGAGCCCGCAGTGAATGATGCTAGGAGCAGAAGTCCTGGTTAGGCTCTTGACCTCAGCCTGACTCAGCTTGGCTTTGTGAACTGAAGTTCACAAAGAAGCTGCACCTGTATTGAAGATCCTGTAGGCTGGGTGACTAGGACATGGTGACTGTGGAGCAATGGGGAATGTTGAAGATCAAGAGTTAAAATTTTCTTGGGCCATCTTTAATCCCTTTTAATAACCTCTTACTATCAACCTCTGTATGTGACCTCACCTCGTGACTACCGGGGAGAACTTTTGGGATATGTAGTTAAGCTGTGCAGAGCTGCAGCTCCCACCAGCCTCCCAGCTAAGCTATACTTCTGAAACCTGACAGCCCTAAGACAATATCTGAAACCTGTAGATGATTCTCTGCTCTGCTCTAGCCCACCAATGTTTGGTGAATGCATTGATTTACGGCTTTCTTCTGTTCATCACTACATAAATTTCATGTAGCATCTTTCACAGTGGAACATATTGCCCAGGGTAACTGAACCTGTGTTTCCAGGCCATCATCACTCATGTTTGGCTCAGAATAAGCTATTTCTTATTAGCTTTGGAGTGAGCTCTGTATCTTGCAATGCCAGCCTCACTAAGGCCTCTTTTCTCAAATACACAACTGGGAATGAAGGCCACTTCCCCATCCACCTGAATTTGGGCAATGTGACAGGCACAGGGCTCCTTCCACTGCTACAAGAGAAGAAATAAAAATAACAAACACCTAGGAAATCTCTAAAGCTTCAGGCCAGAGACAAGGCCTGAACTTGAGTAACCTTCTTCCCATTGAACCTCATTAAAGGTTCATACATATGGACTGCACCTCACACAGGAAGAGATTGCATCAGTGATTTCTGGGACAGACATGGGTATTGTGGTCCCCCTGAGAGGACTCAGCCTCCTGTCAATCATTTCTGTCAGTCTTATCCAGATACCCAATGCGAGGCGCCTTGGGTGGGGTACATACTTTTAAAATCCAAAAGCCTGACTTATCTTTGTCTTTCTCTAAGGTGCCTATCATCCTGACACTATTCCGCCCATGCATACCTGCCCATTATCTTTAGTAAATGTGGTTGTTTTTCTCTTATCACTGGATGTACACTTGCAATTCTTTGCTTGCTGTGCACAATAACCTGGACCCTATTTCTCAGATTCATCGCTAGGTATCAGCCTCGGATTCACAGAACCAGTCTCTTTTATTAGGATGCCCAGTGGAGTCAGTGGTACTCTAAGCTTCCCTACTCTTGGGTATGTCCACCTAAGGACCCTGAACTCCTTCTAGTTAGCAGAAAGGGCCTCTTTCCTGAAGTCTCCCTCAGGCAGCTGAATCAGAGCCCAAAGACAATTGACCCAGGCCTAGACAGCATTTGGCTTGAAGGAACTGCTGACCAAAGCCCAGCTGTGGCCTGACACCTGACTTTCCCCCTCTTTGTGTGCTTATGGGTGGCCCTTGTGGACCAGGGGCCTTGAGAAACCCCTCCTAGAGGGACCGCATCTGACGCTCCCCACCTTCCTCCTAGAAAGGGACCACCAAAAGAGACACTTTTGGTGCCCTTGTCTGTGAATGCACATGTGGGGAGTGAAGGGTGAGAGAGGTGAGGAGTGGGCCTCCTCCCGCACCGGCTGCCCCGTCAGCCTGGACGGAGTAGTGTAAATGCTGAGTGGGCTGAAGAGAGGCTTGGACAGTGCTGTGGTACCTTTCCCTCAGGCTCCACATCTGGAGGGAGGGTGGCTTCTGTCTGCCTGGAGGCTGGCTGGAGCAGTGGGGGCTTCCGTAGTGTGGCACAAAGTTCCAGAGACAGCATGGGGCCCTGTGAAGCTGAAGCAGGTCCCCTTTATCACTGAGGGTCCCCCCGTTCCAAGGCTTAGAGTGTCTCCATTCCTCCACCCCCTCATTCTCTCCTTGAAGTCATCTTGCACATCAGCAAACCCTTGACTGTGGGCTCCTCAGCTCTGCACTCAGCAGCTCCTCTGCCATCCAGGAGAAACACTTTCCCAGAGATAGCCACTCCTCCCCACCCTGGCCAGCCAGGTCTATTTTCTGTCCATTTCCAAAGAAGGATACCCCCCCCCCCCCGCGCCAATAAATAGATCTTGTCCCAACTGTTCCAATTGGAAAAGATTCCTGCTTCTAAGAACCAACGGGAAGAAGGTATTGCTATTTCTTGTCTTCCATTGGAGACAGAATATAGACTCCAGGCCCTGTGTCACAATTTGGGGCAGAAATGAGCCTCAAACCTCAACTCCTTGGTCAGGTGCTCCTCTCGCTTTGACCAAATAGCATACAGCTGCTACGCCGGGTTGGGGTGTGAGTAGTGTGGGGTCAGGGCAGCAGCCTGCTCACAGATTAAAAGGGATCTGAAGCCTGCAAATCAGCCTATGATCCTGGCACTCAGGTGGTGGTGGAAGGAGGATTGCGACTTAGTAGATCAGCCTGGACTACACAAGTGAGAACTTGTCTTGAAAAAAAAGGACCCAGAAACTGCCAGAGTGGCTGTGTTCTCCATGGCATAGGCCCCTGTGCTGGGCATGACCCATGTCCTCACCGTGTCTTCCAGTTGTCCTATCATGGTGGCTTTATCCCTTTTGATAGAGAAGACACTGAGACTCAGCATGGCCGGCTGAAGGTCACATAGTTAATGAGAGGCTTTCTGAGTCTGAAGTTCTTCTCATTCTACAGCCGCAGGCCGGCTCGTGCCTGACTCCAAGGCAGAAAGGCCTCCCTGCTCTCTGGCTGCCCCGAGTAAGGGCTGAACAACCTGGGTAACTTTCCTGCCTGCCTTTTTTCATGAAGCACAGGAGCAGGTGCCAATGCCTCATTTCCTATCCTTGCTGCCCTGTAGCTTGAGCTATCTGCTGGGTTCAGATTCAGAAGCTGATGGCCTGGGCACTGGTGGGTGGTTCAGGAGATGGTCAGGATGTGGGTCAGATCAAGGTGGGGTGAACTGTCAACTTCAGCAAAGGCTTAATCCAAAAGCAGGATTGGGGGGTCAGCAGGCCACTGTCACACACAGACAGAAAACACAAGGTCTCCGCAGAAGCAAAGAAATGCAATGTTATTTTCATGAAGGAGTTTATTTCTCTCTCTAAAAAAAAACAAAACAAAACAAAACAAAACAAAAAAACCAGTGGTTTGATCTAGGCACAGCAGCACTGTGACATAGACAACATGAAAGATTCAGAGCAGCAGAAAGAAGCCATTGTCATTAGGAGTGATCTCCCAAATGGAATCATTTTCATTCATCAATGATAAAATCTCCCTGGCAAACAAAATAGTAACCTTTGGATACTAGAGTGATTATTACTATTTTAACAATGCCAATAGCCACAAAGCCCTTGCTTTTGATCTATTATAAAAATGACTTCTCAGTGACTTGGGAAAAGACATCTAGATTCTGTTGAGGAAGTGTTCTTCCCTCCTAAGGGCAGCTACCTTGTCACATGTTTCAAATCACTGTGCCCAGCACAAGCCTTTAAGTTTTGGACGGAGGAGATGAGCGCCTGGCTTATACACCTCTGAGCTGCAGCAGCTGGGCAGCCGATTGTGCAAATGGGTGCAGAAGAGGCCAGGGATTGGGTGAGGCTCCCCAAACATGGTCTGCTGTGATCAGAAGTGAGTTCTCTGCTGTCCATAACTCTCATAGCTATGTGGCTTCCAAATGCACAAAGATTTATTCACCATCTTCCTGTACCAAATTGCAAGAAGTTGAAGGCCCTATCTCAGCATATCAGGTTACACCAAGAGGAGACACCTAAAGAAGTTGTCTCGGAAGGATGTAAGTGCCCAGTGAGAAAAGCAAGCTCCCCCAAGAAGGGCCAAGTGGCAGTCAGACATTTCCTTTTCCTCTTGGGAGACTTCTGCTTGTCCAGGAAGCCACTGTTCCTTTGGGCAAGGACAGGGATGCCAGGCTCAAGCAGGATGTGGTGCCTCCTCTGTATGGAGGTCAGCAGCTGAATGAGAAAGTTGGGAAAGTGGAACAGTGACCCCAGCCTTCCAGGAAAGGATAGTGTGTGGGAGAAAAGGACAGATTTCAACTGTGATGCTAAGTTCCTTGGCAACCTCCTGGTCTCAGTGTCCTCCAGGACTTGCCTGGGCTCCAGGGAAGGCAGCTACATCTCACTGTGCCTCCAAATGCATGTGCCTGTCTGCCTGAACTCACCACCACTGTCTCAGACTGGGGTGTGTGGTCCTGCGTGCATGCCACTGAAGTGACTTGCCCATGTCTAGGTGGCAGGCTTCTGGCCCTCTGAGGCAGCAATGAATCTCAAGAAACCACAAGTCCGGTGACTGCTGCAAGTGGGCATGTGAGCAACTCTGGAGCCCCAGGGTTCAGGTTCAGGGGTGAGTGATGGGTGCTATCCTTTCTGAAGGCATGGACCTGGCCTTCTTGATACGCTGGGAGCCTCCTGCACAAAAGAGCTTGGGAAACACTCGTAAGTCAGAGTGATCATGGCAGAGACTGCCCTGTCCACCAGGAACAATGGCTTATCTTCTACTAAATAGCAGAAATGGAGATGCTTCTGGAGACCCTGCATCTCACCCCAAAGGCACAAAATCAGCAAACATCTGGTGAGAAAAATGTCACACTTGGAGTGAGAGAGGTTCTTCTGCAGAAAGCTACAATGCAGGAGAGTTACATCCATCCACTGTCCAAATATGCCTTCTCCTGGACAGGTGAATGGGTGGAGGGGTTGTCTTTTAATTTAAAAATATCTTCTAAAAATGTAGCTCTAGAAACCAAAGTTGTAAGAAGAGCAAAGTAGGGAGGGGACAGAGACTTGGACTCAGTAGGGAAAAGGACTGGTTTTTAGGCACTGTTCTTGAGATCCCCTTCTCTTACTATGGAGCCATGGATGGGCCAAAAGAACGGGACTGAATAGGTCATGTGACTGCCTCTACCTCCCATGGGCACTGGGAAGACAGGTGGCAATGTGAAGGAAGACAAGTTATCATGAGTAATTGTCAAGCTCTGGGACTGTTGGGCCACTTGTGGTAGCCAGATTTTTAGTTTCTCTACTCTTGGGGATTCTTTCCTGCCAATGTGTCCATGGCTTGGCTTTGAGGCAGAGGCAGGGGGAGGGGGGGAGAGAGAAACACGGCTTCCCAACACCATTCCATCTGGCAAGGACTGAGTGGCCCTGAGTGGGGCAAAAGGAACGAACCTTCTGGGCAGGAGGCTAGGGTGGTTGCTTTGGTTGGTGGCCTCCCAGGAGGATGATAGACCTTTTTTCCTCAAAGCAAGAGCATCAGCAAGAGTTTGAGGATACCCAATACCTACCCAACAGTGTCCCACTTTTTGGCAGAACCTGAATACAGCTCTTTGTATTTGGTTCTTCCACAGCCCAAGGGAACCAGCTTCCAGAGCTCTTCTTAAAGATGACAATACTGTGCAGTAGAGGGATTGTTTCTTCTCTCCCATTTGTTTATGACTTCAAACTGATCAGACCCAAAGACCAGGCCCTTTTCTAGCAGCATGCCCGGACCCCTCGCAAAGCTTGGGGTAGATATTGAACACATGGACATGCTGATGGGCTCAGAATGCTGCTCCCTAAAAGCTCCTGCCCCAAATCTGTGGGGTTACCCAGAGAACAATGTTTGGGACAGTCACAACCCCGGCCAGCTGGTGCGGAGCTGCTGGCTCTCATATTCTAGATCATTTGAATGATCTAAAGACACAGATTCCTAGGCCCCCTCAGAGAGCCCCATATGGCAGGTTTGGGCCAGGGCCTGGGAATCTGCATTTTTATGGGGGAGCTGATGTAGGCAGTATCTGGCCCAATCTGTGAGAATCCCTGGCAGCTGCTGGTGGCTGAGACCAGTTCTGAGGCAGAACTGGGCCGAGGAGCTCCGCCAGGTAGGGGAGACATGAGGTCAGCTGTTCACCCTGACTTGACAAGGAGGTGAAGGCCAGTCTGTTCCTTGCCCCTTATGAGGCAGCCAGGGTGGCCAGCAGCTCCCTGTGGCTGAAGAGCAACGCACAGGGTCTGGGAACACCTGCAGAAGTCGTTGGTTTGGCAAAGCACTGAGCCCTCCTGGGGCTACTTTTTGCCGAAACTTGTGTTCTCAGTTAGAACTGCCTCCTGGGGAAGCGACCATGAGTCTGTCGGGAGCTTCCTTGGTGGCTTTCCTGGGGTATCCCGTACGAGGGAGACACAACCTCATCTGTGCCACATGGGCAAGCAAGTCTGCGGGTCCCATGAAGGTGTCAGAACCTGATGAATGTTTCAGGACTGGGCCAAGCAAATCTTTCTCCTCCCTGCAGATACAAGGTGGTCACTTACGATGCCGAGGACCCTCACTTGTTTCCTGTCGCTTCCACACTCCGGAGTGTTTGAGAGATTTGGGGTTTTGTGACTAATCCTTGTCATTACTTGCTTCTTCTTCTTCTTTTTTTTTTTTTTTGGTACCAGGGATTGAACTCACGACCCCACACCTGCCAGGCAGGCACTTAAGCTATTGAGCTAAACCCCTGGCCTCATCACTTGCTTCTTTTAAAAATGGTACATAAGAGAAATTCACAAACACAACACAAACCTCCTGAAAATGACTGCTGTTAGCAGCCAGGACCTGCTCAGGAAGCAGCTCAGGGTGCACTGGGTGGAGGGTGACCCATTGAGTGTAGGGTGACCCATTGAGTGTAGGGGCTGCCTTCCTGCAGGAAAGGGAGCCGAAGGGTGAGACCAGAGGGCAAGTGCCCCTGCAGGAGCAGCACACACACCAGCAACCCCACGGTCCCAGAGGGCGACCCGGCAGGAGCACGGTGGGGGGATCCCAAGTGCATTCTAAGCATTTCATTCATCTTTACAAGCCAACAGCTATGTAAGGAAAAGGTCAGAGATGGATGTACGTAAATGCAACCAATACTTTAGAGGTGAAAGCTGAAAGATTTTCTACATTTAATAAAAACATTTTCTCATTTGAGGCTCTGGAAGTCTGGAGTCACTTTTTTTTTTTTTGGTAAATCCCTTCCCCCTAAAATGTCTTAAAACACATGGCTTAACAGTGGCTGCACAGAAAATATACACCCTTAGAGTCTGACTTTCATTTAAATACAAATATACAAAATGTAAACTGAGACAATAGAGAAATTTACAAAACTTTTCTTTAAAAATAATAAAGACAAAATTCAGTTCTAGTTAGGACGCTATTAAAATACGTGCAAGTTGTTGTATCTCACTGGGTTTCTATTGCAACGTTCAAGGAGGGCAAATCCAATCCACCCCGGCATGGGGCCGCCTTGGAAAACAGACCTGAGTGGAAATTTCTTTGAGAAACCTCAAGGCTTGTAGAGGGGGTGGGCAGTCTCCTTTCCCGGCTCCTGGGTACCGCTGGCCACTCAGCCAGAGCGGAAGCCCCTTTAGCCACAAGTTCTGCTTCCCAATAGGTCTGGGCTGGTTTCGTTGTGGTCATCAATGCTGGAGCTGAAACTAGCTGCTTCCGGTGGAGTTTGAGCTGACGTGGTTCGAATTTATGTGGTGGTTGTGACTGGTCTTGGAATTAGGTGAACTCTTGGAATTGTTCTGATGCTGGGGTGGGGTAGAGGAGGAAGCAGAAGGAGAGGGTAAGAGAGAGAGAGAGAACAGGAGTCACTCCCGAGCGAAGCCAAACCCTGGAGACTTGGAGTGGGGCCACGGGGCAGCGCACGTCTCTGCTTTTTGTGGCTTTTCCATTCTCCTCTGCAAACTTGGGTCTTAGGGCACAGTTTTATCTGGTGCTGGGAAGAGCCATGGAGTAAAGAGACCCTCCAATCATGTATAGGTTAAAACCTGCAGGCCTGACTGGATTTAAATCCCAAGTCTGCCCCTCCTAAGCTGAGTAACTTTGTGCACCTTACTTCATCTCTTAGTTTCCTTCTTGTAATAAGAGCAGCTTCTTCGCACAGTTGTTGGGATACAGAATGAGCCTGGGGAGGCAAGGGTCTGGCCCTCACACCACTGACTGCTTATTATTATCCTGGAGCTCCCAAGGCAACCCTGTGGGCACTGGGCCCTCAGATTGCAGGGAGGAGACGGAGTGGGGTTAGGGGCATCTGCTTCACGGGCACAAGAGCCTCCCAAAGTCTCCTTCGGACCCTTGGGTGATGGTGTTTCAGCCTGATTTTTCATGGGATAAAGAGAATAGGAAGGTTTGACGAGTTGCCATCCAACCAAGAAGCCCCAGGCTGGATCTGAACCTGAGTCTATGGGACAAGTTCTCTTCCTAGAATTGGAGGGCGACCTGGGAGTTGGGACACATGATCAAGAGGACATTTTTCTCTGGAAGTTCAGTTTCACTTGATGGAAGCATTTAAAAGAACTGAGAATGAACTCAAGGCTTCACAATGAGTTTCAGATCTTTGTTTCCCCTCAATTTTATTTTAACATGGGGTGGAGTGGGGGATCTTGCTAATTTGCCCAAGTTGCTCTCAAACTTGTACTGTCTCAGCTCCTGAGTAGCTGGGATTACATATGTGCACCACAACACCCAGCAAAAGTTGTATTTTTGTATCACATAAATGTGAGTACATTATAGAATAGGGTATAAAGCTTACATGAAGGTTTTAGATTAAAAACACAAACTCAGGGACCTCAGCCCATACTTTTTCTTCATATGCCTGGTGTTTGCTCCCATGGTTATTATCCCTGACTGTTCCTGTGGGCTCACCAGATGTGTGACTTTGCACAAGACCTTTAACTCCCTCAGCCTCAGTTTTCTTATCTATGAAATGGGAAACAGTAGTACATACTGGTGCGAGCTTACAATTCACTAGGATGCCCAAAGGCAGCAGCGTATCCATATCCTTACATATGGCCTGGCACACAAGGAGGCACCTAAGACTTACTGGTGGAATGAATGAGTTGTCTAATGAAGCCCAGGGTCTGGTGGATACTAACTTGGAGAAGCCCTCAGAAATCTCCTAGCCCTGGGCCTGGTTTGCAGGGAAGCTCCATAAACATCTACCTTCATCTCTGCTACCAAAGTGGAGGAGCTGGGATGCCTGCTAGGAAGCCTTCTGTGATAAGGGGGCCTGCTCCCTGGGGGCAGGGGGATAGTGAGGAGCCAGGTGTGTGTGAGGGCTCCCAGCCTCCAGGATAAAGGCCCAGATTCCTGAAGAGCAGGCCAAGGGGTGGCACTGCTATGACCACCTTCACACCTGTGGAATCAAGACCCCACAGTTCGCTCGCAGGCCTCCCACACTCTCCCCAGGGTATTCTTTTCATTTGGTCCCCAAAGACCTGGAGGTAGGCTTTGGGAGGCTCCTGGGCACCAGCTGGAAGGTGCCCATTAAACTATGAGGGCCTGAAAGGGTCACTTCCCATCCCTATTCTTCCTGTTCCTTGGTAGGTTCAATCTTAATCATATAACCCAAGTCTTTATGAGGGCCATCGAGGGCAACGGTTCTCCACCAGGGGTGATTCTGTCCTCCAAGGAACACTTGGCAATGACTGGAGATGTTTGGGGTCATCACAGTTAGGGGAAGGTGGGGCCACTGTACCTGGTGGTGGTAGATTAGGGATGCTACCCCACATCCTTCAGCACATGGTGCAGCTCCCATGGTGCAGGGCCAGCCCCAAATGACAGCAGGATCAAGGCGTGAGACCCTGATGTCTGGCAGACTTTTGGATGGCTTTGCCCCTTCTACTCTGGGGGATCGTCAGCCTTGGGGATGGGGGGGGGTGTTGGGCTCTGGACCAGCTGACCATCTCTCTCGGGCTGCTATGCCCCAGGCTTTGGGCCACACTGGCAAAAGCAGTCTGTAGCTCTGCTCTTGGACATGGGCCAGGGGTCAGGTGCTGAGGTCAGGCCCACCGGGGCTCTCACCTGACGCCGGAAGAGTCTTTGGAGCAGCCCTTTCTTCGGTGGTTCAGGAGGCTGACTTCTGTTCAGGTCCCATGAGAGGGTGCCATCAGGTCCAAACACATTCAGCTCCTTAAAGCACTCTGTTTCTATCATCTGCAGAGGCCAAGCAGAGACACTGCCATCACCTGGGTTCAGGAGCCCAGCGGGCCTCCTCTCAGCCTCATCTTCCCTGACCACCTGTCCATCCTCCATCTGGGGGTGCAGCCTGGTCTGAGTGAACCTTCTGGGACTCCTCTGCAGGTGGGGCCAGCCCTTGCCCACACATAGGATGATGCCATTGAGAATAGAACCCACTGGAGGGCACACTCATCTTCCTCCACAAAACCCTAGCTCTCACAGCCCTTAATAGGGTCTCACTTTCTTACCTCAATTCTGCATGTGCTTCAGCAGCTGCCCTATTTTTGACTTCCGCCCTAGCCAGACCTATCAGGGGAGGTTCCTGGTTTCCTCCTCAGCCCCTCTCAGCTGCTTGGCACCTCCTGACCATCCCACACTGTGCCCTTACCCAGGCCCCGACAGCACCCCTGCAGCCTGGCCCTGCAGCCAAGCTCCGGTCCTTGCAGCTGAGTTAGGGGCCACCCTCCCTCTTAGAATGAAGCCAGGGGCTCTCTCTGCCTACCTCATTCTGCCATGGGATGGACACAGAGCCTGTGGAGAACTTGGAGTAGAAGTCGTCATCCGTGTGGTCCAGGTTGACGCCTTTCACGGTGGAGAACTGCTCGATGTCCAGCACGTCCTTACAATACACGGCCCGAGGCTGAGGAGGCAGAGGGCTGGGTTGTTTGTGGGCCCTGCCTGTGGCTCCAATGTCCCCCAGACAGGCCTTGGGGTTTTTTTTTTTTTTTTTTTTTTTTTGCTTTAAACAATTTATTTAACTGAAATGACTTCCCTTTATTTAACTGAAGTGATCTCTATTTTATTTTGATACATCTCTGCCCCATGGTGATCTTTTCCCCAGTGGATTTTCAAGCCAATATAAATATTTCATAAATATTCGGCCGTTTGGGATAACCTACACAATACCTCAGCAGTATCTTTCAGCAAGAAAAACACCACTGAGTTAAGACCTGACATACACTTAGCCGCCCATTAGGTGCTGAATGGCAGAGCTCCCTCCCCAGCTTATGCCATGAATTCATAGGGAATGGGTTCCAGCAATTCAGGCTCCTTCCCATTGGTCCTCACAAAGTGTGCTTCTCTGGGCGGGGCAGGCTGGCGCTTTAGTTGAACCCAGGTACCTTTCTCTTTGGCTTCCTTCTTTTTCTGATCATTTTCCTTGACACGTTTCAGGAAGCTATCACGACTCTTTGAGTGTTTAATATGCTCAATACGCACATTAATCCTCTTGGCCAGGATCTTGCCCTTAACTTGCTTGTTTACAACAATGCCAACAGCATGCTGGGTAACATTGTAGACTCTTCCTGTTTTGCCATGATAACATTTGTGTGGCATTCCTTTTTGTACAGTACCCATTCCCTTGATGTCTACAATATCACCCTTTTTGTAGATTCGCATGTATGTGGCCAAAGGAACAACTCCATGCTTTCTAAAAGGCCTAGAGAACATATACCGGGTTCCCCTCCTCTTTCCCTTTGTGTTCGTCATTTTGGCGAATTACTGGAAGATGGCGGTTCCGGCCGAAAGGCTGGCCTTGGGGTTTTGATGGGGAGCAGAGGGGACATCTCCCCCTGGCCCCTCTACCTGCTGAACCCAGCCTGAATTGTCTTCTCTCACATCCATTGAGGGGACCCTGGCTAGCATGAAGTGAGAGCTGGGACCTTCCATCTGCCCCTTTCAGGGCTCCCTTGTGTCACCATTCTTGCATATACCACAGGTCACCCCTGGTCTCTTTCTAGGTGGGGCAGAGATCACTTCTATCTCTAAACTCAAGCTTCTCAGCCCTGGCACCCCACATTCCCTGGCTATTGTTTGAGGTCTCAGGTCAATTCCTCCATAGAAAGTATGAATGCTGGGGACCCAGAGCCAGAGCAAGGTACTCCAGGGTTTCATGGGGATACTTGGTTTTTGGGTACTGGGAATCGAACTCAGGACCTTGTACTTGCCAGGTAGGAACCTGTGTCACTGAGCTATATGGGGCACTTGGTACAGTGATGGCAGGAATTACCTCCTACTCCCTTCTCCTAGTAGGGAGCTGTAGGTCTCTGTAGCCAGGCAGATCTGGGCTTAGGACTTTCGGAAAGTCACTCATGCCTGCAAGACCTTGTTCTCCAGGAGATTCAGTCTAGGGGAGACTTCCCATGGGGCTCTGCATGCCTGGGGGCATTAAGATGACCCCAGGTTAGGTGCAGAGGGCACCCCAGACCCAGTGATGCCTGTTTCTGGGGGCAGAGGCTGTTTCCTCCTCAGTGTCCTCATGGCCCAGATATCGGTTAATTTGAAGGCTGTGAATCCAGCACACAGATTCCTGGGGGCTGCAGTCCCCCAGCAGGGCTAAGAGCTCCCCCTGCACTTAGCCTTCTGCACTTCTGGGGAATCTCTAGGAGGCTTGAGGTCACGCAGACTCCAGCAGAATAAACCACAGGGTTTATTCTACACTTGAGTGCCTAGATGCTGGAAAGAGGGGGGACGTCCAAGCACACAGCTGTAACTGAGGCCCAGTGTGCACACCTCTGTGGAACATTTGTCATGCCTGGCTGCACGGTCTGCAGGGCCCAGTGCAAAATGCAACCACAGGGTCCCCTGCTCAGAACTTACATGGAATTTCAAGGTGGCAACATTGGGGCACAGAGCCAACTGGGCGGCCAGAGTGATGGGGCATGACACGCCCATGAAACTGGCCTGGGGAGGCATGCAGATGGACTTTATTTTTTTTTTAAGTGTTTTGAAAAAAATCTGTGCTGGCACAGAAATTTATCTAACACGCCAAAACCTACCCTCTTGTGGCTATGATTTCCTTAGAGATGTCTCCTTTGAGAATACATTTGCTTTGGTTTTGAAGAGTCAAGTGAAGTGAAAAAGATGAAGTCAGTAATAGCCCTGTGGCCATAGCCCAAAAGAGGTGGGCAAAGAAACACGCAAGGCTGGCCTGCTGGGGGTGGGGTCGAGGGTGCAGGGATTGGGGGCGCAGGTGGAGAGGGGACAGCAGGGCCGAGGGGCAAAGCCCCAGCTCACATGAACCCACACTCCTGGGCCACAAGCTCCACTCACCACCCCTCTGCCAGTGTATCTGAGGCCTCAGTTGCCCACAACAGGGCCCACAGGTGGCACCTTAGAAGGGGGGCGGGGAGAGGAAGCTGACCCCATAGGCGAGCAGATCTCTATGAAACATACTCAGGGTTTCTGTAATCTGACAGGCAGGGTCACACCGAGGGTGGCCAACCATCCCCACCTGCTCCGTACATAGCACTAAAAGCAGGACAGTCCCGGGTGAACCTAGGTGGCTGATTACACTGATTATCAGAGATGCCACCTTCTACAAGCCAACCCCACGGCCTAAGAAGGCTCTTCCCCCAGCACCGCCTGGCCAGCTCCATGAAGAAGCCTCTGCTACCCTGTCTTCCCCTTCTGGGCCTCCTTATTTCGCAGGACTCACATCCTCATTTTTATTTCAGGGGTTTTTGTGACCCTCTTGTCCTCTTCAGGCTGACAGTCCCTGGATGGAAATGACTCAGGTTTCTGTTCACCACGGGTCCCCTGCCGGAGATTGAGGAATGTTTTTTGTGTCACGACTGATCTCATCCTATCGCCATAGCAGCAGATGGCCCAGGGGTCAGGGCAGGATTCTGAACCTTTGCTACCGCCCTAGCCTGGTGTCCATCTCATCTGTGATCCAGGACATCAGCCCACTAACATGACTGCCATGTCCTCATAGTCACTTAGGTGACTATGTACTAGGGTACTAGGTGGCGGCCATTCGACAGCCAAATGGCAAACTCTCGACTCGGGCCTTTCCTGTAACACAGTGGTTCTTAAAACCACCCAAAGAGGTCTGAAGAATCCTGATGCCCAGGCTTGGTGCCTGATACAGTGGGAACTGGGCCCAAGATTGGTTTTTCTCATGTTCTCCAGGTGACTTTGAATGGGTAACTGGGGTTTGGAGCAGGTGCTAACATTGGTATGCACACCCCATTACCTGCTGAAAACTCCATGTAGGTTAGGTTTGTAGCATTTGGGGCCTTTTAATCTTTATTTTCTCAATGGCCCCCTTAGTCCGTCCTATGAAAGCATTCCCTGGTCATCCCCCTAACATAGATACCATGGCTGCACAAAGCAGGTCAGGGGCTTTATTGTTATGGACGCTGTTCAGCACCCAGCAGGGCCCTGGCTTTCCACCACCACCCTCTCTGTGGCTGCCCTCCTGCCGGATAAGATGACCAGGGAATCCTTTCCTAGAGGAGGACTGCCCCCATCTTCCTCCATGCAGTGTTATGCTGAGGAATGGTTAACTGGTCTGGAGGCGGGGGAGAGAAGCTCTGCTTTGTACTGTTTGCCAGCTGCTGTGAGCTATTGCAGCCCAGCAACCTGGAGTTACTGACCACAGAGTTGCGAAGAGATGGGCAAAGCAGTCCCCCATGAATACCAGTGTTCCCATAATCTCCACAGCCCCTGGCTGAGTTTCCCGGCCATCCCCAGATGTCAATGCTTAGGCTGCCAGGGCTTTGAAGGGGCAGCGCCTTCCTGGCTTCTAACTCCTTGATCTGACATAGCACAGGCCGTGGGATGGCAGCCTGATCAGTCTGGCTCCCTCAGCTTCTGATCAAGAAGAATTGCACTTTATAGAACACATGGAAGATCTTCAAGGCCAATCCTAATGTAGGGCCTTGTAATTTGAACTGGCTATGCCTGGCTCAGAACCTAGTGTAAACAGTAAGTGCTCAATAAAGGTTGAACTGACCTGAATGTAGTTGTCTTTTTCAAAGAATTCTCCATTCAGTTTTTGTTTCACCCTTTGAACACCACTGAAAGATTATGGGAGTGGGTGTCATTGGCCTCATTGGACAGGTGAAGACACTGAAACTTGGGAGGGATTTGTCCAAGGCCCTAGAGCCTCTGAGCAACCATTGTGGGGCTCCCTGGCCCAAACTCAGGGCATCGGCACAGGTTGACTCTCGGGAGAGTGGCAGGGGAGCAGTAGTCTTAGAGACACTGGGTTGGGAAGCTACTCACATCAGGAATGAAGGGAGGGTCCAACATCCCAGCCTCCAAGCGCTTGAAGTTCATGTTCCTGAAGAAGGGGTGCCTCTTGACCTCGGCTGCGCCCTCCTGCTGGCAGCCCAGCCTCTGCTTTGCATCTTTGGTGAGCAGCTATGACAAGAGAGCCTCTTGAGCACACCCCTGGGCCCCTCCTCCAGTCTGGAGGCTGGAGGGCAACGGAGTGCTGGAACATCTGTGCCCACTGTCCTCCCCGCCCGTGCCCTGCGCCCTCCTGACCTCCCTGTTCCAGCCTCCTCCGCCAGTGCAGACCCGACCCCACCCCCACTGCAAAAAGGGCCTCAGGACAATGACCAGGTTGTCTTTGCAAGGACTAGGTTGTATTTAGACTCTGACAATGTCCACCTGTGGTGGCAACCTGGGGCCCACACCACGGTTTCTTTCCACTGGTGTAGAGAATTGAGCTCTGATCTCCTGTTCCAAGAAACCCCAGAGAGGCAGGGCTTCCTGCGTAGAGCTGGGACCCGCAGCTGCAGTCCCCGAAGCACATGCTGGCTGTACAGGCAGGTGGTAGAAAGAGCACAGTAAAGGTGAGCTGGGCTGGGACACGAAGGACTGTCAGCCAGGGACCAGGGCTTTTGCTTTTCTCAAGGGATGCTAGGAGATACAGTTTCTCTGTGAAATTTCATTTTTAAATCTTAGCACTTTGCCTACCGCTCACCTTTCTAATACATTCCACACAGGCTGAACAGGACCCCAACATGCAGGCCCGGTTTGCCGCTGTATTATCTGGTGTATATCATAGGACAGCAAGTGTGACTGGGGTGGGTGGCCAGGCGCAGAGGCTTTTAGAAGGGGGAGAACTCGGAGGGTTAAGACAGGTGAGATGTGGACGCTGGAGGGCCAGAGGGAGATAGAACAGGTCTAGGTTGGGCATGCAACAGGGACCGATGCAGGTGGAGGCTGAAGGCTGAGCCATGGGCCTAGACCTGGGGGAGGGCAGTGAGACGTGTGACCTTCTGCACCACAGGGCCCGGGCTGCCTGAGTCCTATGTCCGCCAAGATGGGATATTCCTGAGACTGCTTCCTTGCTGATTGTACAGCAGCCTTCCCAGGCTTGTAGGGTGGGAGCTGCCGGAGTCCAGGAAAGTCCCACAGGCTCAGGGCCTCCATGGTTTCACTAAGACAAGTGAGCTGCTGGAGGGCACGGGGCAGCTCTGACTGCAAGGCCTACGAGATTACTGTTAAAGGTGAGGAGAGGCCCAAGACTGGATTATGAAGACACCAGGATTACTTGTAAGAGAAATGGTGGTTCTTCTATGGGTGAGAGATAGGGACCAGTGGTTCCACACTGCACACAACAGGCCATATTTATAGGACCAGCAGGCTTGGCTGCTGCTTTTCCTTCAGTGGCCACGAGGAGGCAGCAGAGGGACAGCAGCGTCCCAGGTCCTGCAGGGGATCATAACCCAAAGCCCTGCGCAAAGGAAATCTGTGAGGATGGGGGTTGGCATTCTCTCCGCCTACTTATACTCTCAACATGGCCCATGTCTCAGACCTCAGAATTCCTGACGCTGAGCTGAGGCAGTCAGCAATGCTCTGGGCACACCCGACACCCTCTGCCACAGCCTTGTCCAGTCCGGTCACGCCGGGTAGATACTGCCCCTTGGCATAACCAAGGATTGCCAGCTTTCTCTGACCTGTGCTGTACTGTTCCTTTAGTCTCTGCACCCCAACTTCGGCTGCAGCCACTACATGGGTCTCTTTGAGGCCTCACAGCCTGTTGGCCCACAGGCTACAAAGTTCGCGTGTGGCACTTTACCACAGCCCCTCCCTGCGTCTCTCATACATGTGAATGACAGACCTATGGCTCCCAGTCCTCCCCCTATCTCTGTGATGTAAGACAGAAGCTGGTAGCAGGAAATGGTGGAGAGGGATGGGCAGGAGAAGGGGCTTCCAGGACTGGGGAACTGACTCCCTCCGCTCTGGACTGCTAGCAGAGGGTCTGGGCATTCTGGAAGCAGGACCACAGCTGCTTTCATCAGCCCCAAGCTGCTCTTCCCTCAGTCCCGGGCTGAGCTGATCTCACATGCCACACTTGCAACAAGGCCACAGTGGATTCAGAAAGGTGGGAAGCAGAGGGGCCCCTTGGGAGTCCTGTCTGGTCTCCTGCAGCTCTGGGTGTAGCGTGGCTTCAGGAGGGGAGTCTGTGCACTTGCAGCTATGCGGAGTTGGACACTCAGGCCTTTCTTATCCTCATAGGGCTAGCTCAGAGGGCAGATTCCTGTAGTCTGGACTTGGAAGCCTGACAGTCAGGCAGGAGCAGGAAGTGGCCATCTCCCCACAAAGCCAAAGGAAAGGCCGAAGGCCAGTCCTGGAGTGTGGCCCTCCTGCGTAAGAGGAGAGGCAGCAGACCAGGTGGACCCCACCCTGGCTTCACACTTCTGATGGCGCCTATCACCACTTCCTCCTCCTGGCTGCCAGTCCACAGGCAGTCCCTGTCCACCCAAGCTGCCTGAACAGTGGCCCCATGTATGTCCTACCCACAGATGAGACAAATCTCACTATGCATAAATGCCATCCCATGGATACTTAGCTGGTGTCACTCTGTCCAGTGGATGGAAAACTTTGCTCAAAGACCATGAAAATATCACTGCCACTTCTGCAGCCCTTAGTCTCAAGCCAGTGCCACTAGGGGCGAGCTGGGGAGAGGAGGAGGCCTCAGGTCAATGGACCTCAAGGTCCCTTTGTATCTCAAGCACGAGCTCGGACCATCACTCTTTACCGTGTGCTGACTTTCTCACTTGGACATGAGGGTGTCAGTCCCCACAGCCCCCTTCCCTTACATCACAGGGTGCCCTGCCCCCAGCTCCAGGATTCTCCAGAGGGCTCTGCCTGTCACCCTACCCCCAGCAGGGAGCACCAGCGACTCTGCTTGCCGGGCTGCACCATCCACATCCAAGTACATCCTGACCCTGTCCCTTCAGGCTGTTTGGTACTCTGGGGACAGACTCAAGGCTGGCAGGGGAGCCAGCACTGGACAGCAGCCCAAGGGCAGTGTCCGGCTCACCAGAAACTCACCATCCTGCAGATGGACTTGGCCTCCTCAGAGAACTTGTGGGAGTATACCTCCTCGGTCTCCAGGACCCTGCGGTCCACCTCCTCCCGCTTCACCTTCTCCTTGCGGCCACGGAACGGTGACTGGCCCTCGATCATCTCGTAGATGAGGCAGCCTAGGCCCCAGTAGTCAGGGCTCAGGCCATATCGCTGGTTGTTGAGGACCTCTGGAGCTGGGGGAAGAAGGGAAGGCACATGAGGGCCAGCAGGCTGCAGGACAGAGCCTGAGAGAATGGGCCAGCTCTGCCTGCTCCTCGCCCCGGCCGGGCCTTGGGTGTCCTAGAGTAAAGTTCATGGCTGGGACTTGTCCACACCAAGTGCCACCCACCAGCTGCTGTAGGTGACACCTCCACTGGGGGTCCTGCTCTCATGGTGCTTTTCCACGCCCCAAAGGGCTCTCATGGTGGTTTCAGAACTTAGACCGCAGTGGATGGACATGTCCTGCCCCCTTGATGTCTCCCCAAATAGAATATGTGTTGCCCTTTTCTCGGTCCTGTCCCAGCGACAGGCATGACACCGGGCACCCGGCAGGTGCTGTACAGATCCTTTCTCAGCAAGTAAGGGTGAGTCCACTCAAAGTCCAGATGATTGTAAATGCATCTGGAACTCAGATAACCTCTCACTATGTCTTCCCTACTGTGCTGATAAAATGAATTCACCACTGAAAGATAAAAAAGACAACTCCATGTCATGGGCAGCCAGTGGCGGCTGTACCATACACACACTGGTATGCATAAGACAGGCTGTGCAGACAACGGCCATAATTCTATGTGCAGGAGACAGGTGTACATGTAGGCACATAGACTAGTGTACCTATCGTCCACCCACTCATCATCTGTGTCTGTCTGTCTGTATCCGCCAGCAGTGACATGTGCACATATACTCCACATGCACACATAAACTCCAAAGGTTGCCAAATGTCACACAGTCTGAAAAGAACTCTTCACCACCAGAAACAAAGCACTGAAACCCACACATCTACCACAGGCACCACCTGGGCAGGAGACAAGAAGGTACCTGCTCCGGGGTTCCCCACCTCCCAGAGTCAGTGGAGTAAGCATGTGAGGTGTACAGGAAGAAGCCCAGGGGATGCCCCCTTCTGGAAGGGGATTCTTGGATCCCAAGATTTAGCTCCAGGTCTTCTCTCTGAAGACTGTGGGATGTTGGTCCTGGAACAGGCTAAGGGAGGCAGGGCTGGCCCCTACCTAGACCCATGCTTGGTACCACAGCAGGTCCTGGCAGTGTGAAGCCTCCGAATGCTCTCCTCCTCTTGCAGCGCCCTCCAGAAGGGCTCTCTACCTACCAACCACCTTGACTCCTACTTCTCCCCCAGGGGAGCTCTGTACCAGGCTCTGGCCACCAACCCCTGCCCCTCCGTGACCTGGCTTTGACACAGCAGGGGTTCGCTCAGGGCTATGGAGAGTTCAGTTTAGTCAGGACACATCCTGGGTCCCAGTTGCCACCCCTGGCTAAGGCCACCCACCCAGCAGCACTGGGGCAACCACACCCTCACTTCTGACCAGGGTGCCAGAGACTGAAGGACCCCAGGGCGGACCTGGGGAGGCTAAAACTGTGGTGAGCACAGGGCCACGCTCACCCATGTAGCCAACGGTGCCCACCCGGCCACGGATCAGGTCTCCCTCAGGAATCTTCACCGCCAGCCCCAGGTCTGAGATCCTGATGTGGCCTGTGGAGGACAGAAGGGTCAGCAGGCTGGGACAGTCGTGTAGACCCCTGGCCTATCCTGAGCCAGGCTGAAGGCAGGTAAGGCATGTGAGCTCTCAGGGTTTTCATCAGTCTAACGTCGATGTGACCCTAGTCTACCCACCCAAGGTGACCACAGGAACTTGGGAGAGCCCAGGTGTGGCGTGATATGGTTAACTACACTTTTTAGGAATAAAATACAAAGATGCAGAAGGATGCCTGCATTTGGCTGCATACTGGCCAAATCTACTCATAAAATGCCCTCATGAGCTTCCTGGAAGGCTGAGGTCGCAAAGTGTGAAACATTTTGGCCTGATTCTGGGATTGCTTCACAGGAAAACTATGAGATTCTCCTGACATTTTGCAACAATTTGCTTAAGGGAAAAAATTATAAAGTCATTTGGAAAGCAACTCCCTGCCCTGCTGTACTGGTCTTTAGGGATGTTTTCTTTTCTTCTTCCTTTTTTTTTTCCTTTGGAGAAGCTAGAAGGGCAAATGTTGGGCCTGGCCTGTGACGAGGAGAAAGAACCCCTCATAGGTCTGGCTCCCAATTCCTGGTAGCACCACACTGAGAGCTCCACCTCTTCCTTTGGTGGGGTCGTAGCTTTGTACCCCCATAGGAAAGAGCATGGCCCATCCCACTGGACGTGGATACCAGGTCTCCTGTAGCCTGGACTCCTGCAAGGCCCAGTCCAGAGGCCTTTGCCAGGCCAAAGCTTCATGGTATTGCTGGGGACCTTGGCAGGCTGGTTCTTCTGAGCCTCAATCTTATTATCTGTAAAATAGGCCCCAGATGCCACCCCACCCCCTCCTTGGATATGGGACAATCTAATGAGGCAGAAAATGGGAAAACTGTTTTCAGCTGTGAACTCAGTGGTGAAGGGGTCATGCTTGCTACCCACATGCCAACACCCAAGAGGAAACAACAATGGATTATACAAATAATACTGCTGGCACACAGCGGGCCAGTGTCTACACCAGCCACTCATCCAGCACCTTTATGTCTGTCCCTCTGCTCTTTCTCTTGGCTTGGTCACACTGCTTCTTCATCACCCAGGAGCTTTATTTACTCCCGTTGCTCCCCAGAGCTCAGGGCTGAGGAATGGGAGTGGGGCCCCTGCCCTCTGCTCTGTGGTCTCCAACCCAGCTCTCCCACCCGTCTCTGTCAGTCAGCCCCATACCCCATCAGAAAAGGCTCTCCGAGTCTCCCTGACTTACCATAATCGTCCAACAGGATGTTTTCGGGTTTCAGGTCTCTGAAAGGGAAAGACATCAACCATTTCAGAGTGGCGGTTCGGGGCAGCGAGGACACACGAGCATCTGGGTTGACTGCCCTGAGCCACAGGGGCCTGCGTCCCACGGGGGTCTCCTTTCCACCTGGGGCCCAGGCCATCTGGTCTCTCTGGGTCAAGAGCATCTTGAGCTTATTTCTTTCCTTCCAATAATTTAAAACAAATGCTGCCATCTGCTGCGGACATCTCCCCGACACGGGAATGTGAGCGGGAAGGTCAGGAAAGGCCTGCCCGGGCAGCCGTCCAGACACAGAGGGCTGCAGGGCAGAGGAGACTGGCTGCTCTGGTGACACAGCCCATTGAGAGCTGGGGCTCTCAAGGAGGAGCAGGTCCTAGGGATGAAGGAAGGGAAGCAACTGAGCCCCAGGCACCAGGTAGAGGGTGGGCCCAGGAAACAGACTATGTGGGACAGGTCCTGGGAGGCTGGTTTACCCCCCAAATCTGTCCCAGCCTTGGGGAAGCAAGCCACAGCTGTGAGTGCGGCTGCTTTACTCTGTTTTTAGCCTGTCTTCTCTTTGATAACAGGATCTTGTTTATAAAAAGGGAAATATCGTCTCCCCAGGATGCGAGGCTGGCATCAGAAGAGCCTGGCTTCCTTGGTGAAAGGTCTTCTCTGTGGGTAAAGGAACAGCACTGAGTGGGGTGTGTGCCCCTCAGTTACCCTGCAGGACAAACAGATCCAGGGTCCAGATCTCATGCCAGCTGTCCTCATGGGAGTGCTTAATGCATCCAAATCCACTGGGCAGCCTCACAAAGTGACACTAGTGTTTGTATGCTTATTTATGACATGATATTTTGTGGTTGTTGTTTACATCAGCTCTGGCTGTGTTAAGGGGAAGGCAAGAGGGTAGAAGGGAGGGTGGGCACGAACAAAGCATGATACATGTATAGAAATGTCAGTGAATCCTGTATGATTAATATGCATTAATAATTACAATTAGTTAAGGGCAAAACCCGTCATGTCATCTCAATAATTCCCTGGGTTGGGTCACCCGCTCACTAAGGGGCCTAGGCCAGAACCCGGCCCATTGGGAGGCCACAGCAAGTGCTCAGGCCAGGGAGGACACACTGGATTCCTACCTCCCTAGAGGAAAGGGAAGTGGGGCTCCAAGAGATTTCTGTTTTCCTTCTTTCAAATAAAGGGCAATCAAGGAGGGTGCTATTGTTCAACCCTAGGGAAAATGTTCTGACTCTCTTTTTCACTTGTATGAAAACAAAACAAAACCAAACCACAAGCAGGGAGATGGTATGGGGGGGAAGAGCATTCTTTCTTATTTACAGAATCCTTCTGGGTTCTCAAGAAAATCTCCACCTAGAGGTCCACCTACCGCCTGGGCTGTCTGCATGCCCAGGGTCTGCTGGAGTCCCATGCTGGTGGTCCAAGGGTGTGGACTTCTTGACATCGTCCTTACCTTTCAGGAACTTCCTAGGTATGGTTTAGATGGACAATGGCAGAAATCGATGTGCTATAGTAAACAGCTTCCGCTAGGCCCCTTGCAAACTGGGATGCAACTGTTCAGTTTCCAAATATCAATATTTGCCTCCATTTAAACTTAGGATGGACGATTTCAATGTTTACTTAAAATGTGGTCAGCAAAAATATTTTTAGAATCATTTGCAAAGGGCTGTAATGATCACATGAAGTCCACGGCTCACTGGGAGGAGGATCTAGACACATGGCCTTAGAGTCTAGCTGTGTGACATGGAAGCTGAGGAGATGGGTAAAGTTGGAGCAGACTGAAGATGGGCTAGAGCAGGACATGTGCCACTCTGAAGCTTGCTTGTGGACACTGATCCTCCCTAGGACTTCCTGGGGCTGATTCTAGACGGTGGCCGCTGGGGACCCCTGAATTCCAGTGTTGGGTTGGTGAAGATGGGTGATCATGGCCCATCCCCAGATAGGAAGAAAAGTCAGTTTGTGGAACGTTGTTCCACATGCTTGGCTTTGAAACTAGTGGAGGCCAGAGAATGTGGCCAGAAGGTGGTTCTGTTCACCTGCTCAGTTCCAGAAAGCTTTGGGCCTCCAGAAGAATCCATCTGACTGTACACCCTCATCCTGTCCACCTGGGTCCTCATGGTGAGGATGACATCTCACTAGAGAGCTGCAGGGGTCCACCTCCACCCATGCAGACTCCACGGAGCTTGCTCACCTGTACACAGTGTTCTCGCGGTGCAGGTCCTCCAAGCCACAGAGGATCTCTGCTGCATAAAACAAGGCTCGCTCCTCCTCGAAGCCCGGGTTCCCCATGTTGTAGATGTGAAACTTCAGGTCACCTCCATTCATGATGGTTAGGACCAGGCACAGCGCATCCTTGGTCTCATAGGCATAAGCCAGGTTGACCTGGGAGCACAAGAGCAATGCCATGGTGAGGTCATGAGGATGACTGCCATCTACTTCCACTTCCCGTCCCAGGATGCTTGAAGCTGAGGGCTGGAGGGGGAACACAGCAGCCTTACATCACCACCCCGCATCTAGACAGCCTCGTGGTGATACTGCCTGTTGCCTCTCTGGGCTGATAAAGGACCCATGTCCAGCTCCTCCCAACAAGTGGTTCAAAGTGAAGAGCAAGGAGGAGAGGCAGGCGGTAGCCCAACTTCTCCACAGTCCTACTTACACAGTGTGCCTGCACACTGTGAAAGCACATGCATCCATTGCCAGTTAAATCGGGGTGCTGTCTTGTCGGGTGGTCAGAAAAGCAAAGATCGACTGCTTTCTGGGGCATGGTGACAGGGCTGGGAATAGCCAGTGGGGCATCAGGGAGTACAACATAGTCTGAGCAAAGCTTTCTTTTGCAGGAGGATATGTCTCATCCACCTGTCAAGGGGTCCCAACGTGCTGTACACTGAGGCCACGGGATAGCAGGAGAGGTAGACAGTGCTGGGATTGAAGCAAATTGCACTAGATGGGGTTCCTTCTTCTCTTTTCCACTGAGTGAGCCTGCCTAAATGAAACCCAGCCATCTCGGACCAGGCTAGCTTGAGTGCAAACACCAGGAACAATAATAGGTACCTCGGAGGCAAGGAGACAAAATGGATCTTGAGGGTGAGCACGGGCATGGGGACTGTGCCACCAACTACACCACCTGCTGCAGTTGCTCCTGTTCTTTTCCTGTCTCTCTTTCCTGCTTCCTGCATCATGATGGAAATAGTTTTGCTTTACTGCACGTTCCCATCAGGTTGTGCCCAAAGCAATGGGGCCACCTGATCTTGGAGTAGGATCTCCAGAACTTTTCTCTTTATAAGCTAAGTGCCTCAGATATTTTGTTATAATGATGAAAATCTGACTAATACAAAGCACACTAAGGAGTTCCCTTCTGGGGCCATGCATGGCACAAGGTCAGCAAATATCCAGCCATCAAAGCCAATGGAGATGTTGTGGCTCAGGTGTGCCAGGCACATGGCCCTTTCCTTGAGCACTGCTCCTCCTAGGTGAGGCTCTTCAGCTAGCACTGAAAGTGACCAGGAGTCAAAGAGGCTTGGGCAAAACTTGACCATTGCTTGCCTTGCCCTCTTCCTCCTGCCACATAGAACTGCACCACCAATCCCCCTTCTTCCTACACAAGGCTGGCAGTTGGGGACAGCCTGGGATAAGACCATAAGACCCAAATTTTGGTCTCCTCTGAGTATCATTTTATAAAACCACCTTCCCCTGATGAATGCCCTAAGACCTAGGTGGATGTTGGTATCTCTCTTCCTGTGTACAGTTGGGAATTTAACTGGGGAAAGCTTGATGGCGGTCATCTGAGAACAGCTATCAAGTGGAAGATGCACAGATAGAAATAGAAATTTCTGTGCTAGGAATATACCCTATGGATACACTTGCAGAAACTACCAAAGGCATGTTCAAAGATGGATGGTGCAGTGTTGTTTGTAGTGGTTTGAAAATGAGAAGTGTTTCCATCTGTGGGGATTGGTTACACACAATAATAATGTTGCAGAACAATGACATGCAGCTTTCAAAATAAGGTGCCACAGCTAGTACAGTGGCACAAACCTATAAGCCCAGGACTCTTGGAGGCTGAGGCAGGAGGATTACGAGTTTGAGCCAGGCGAATTTAGGGAGTTAGCAAAATCCTATCTCAAAATTAAAGAAAAACAATAATAAAAAAAAAAGGACTTGGAATATAACTCAGTGCAAAGGTTCTAGATTCAAGCCCCAGTATTGAAAAATACTGGCCAGAGAAAAAGATATATAGCTTAAGGGAAAAATATTGCGGCATAAGATGTATAGGAAGATCCTGCTGGCTAAAAATAATAAAGCGTATACATGAATAAAACATGTCTGGAATGATTACTAAAGAGGGAGGCATTTATTTTTATTGTGTACTCTCTGCTGTTTGAATTTTTTACAGTGTGCATATAAATTAGCTTTTATAATAACACATGGCAGAGACATTTACAGCTGACCAAATATCCATGCACTCCTCCACATTTCCCAGCCTCCCCTGCAGCTTGCTTGTCCCTTGAGGTGACAACAGACTGTAGGTGCAAGGGTGAAATGTCCTTCTGCATCAATAAAAGGTCCCTGTGGAGACCCAGGCTCCAGAGGGCATAGCTGTGAGACAGAGGAGGTTGCAGCCAACTTGCCTGTACTTGCTGTGATTGACAGATGAACTTCTCTTGCCTGTGGCTATTTACAGTCTAATTTGTTACTGTAGCGGAGCCTCACCTAGACTGACTAACATTGCCTCTCTAGGAAACTCCACCACAGTGGCCTCCAGTATGATGAAACCAGCTCAGAGGGTCTGTAGAACCAGAGCCTCTTAGCTGGGTTCAGGGCAGACTTGTTTGCTTGCTGAGGAGTTGACTGGGTGATCTCCAGGGGTGCCACTCACTGCCAGCTCTTGACTGTCAGCCAGGAGAGGCCTCCCAGTGCTGTGTGGCAGAGGAAAGCTCTGGCTGCCTTTTGTACCTTTCTGGATCCTCTTCCTAACTTTGGGGATGGGGACCTGCCACACTGGCAGACTACTCCCTTATACAGAAGGGAAGTCCCGGCCACCAGAAGGGCAGGTCTCATGCTGGTCCAAGACACTCACCACAAACTGGCTGTTGACCTTCTCAAGAATCTGCTTCTCATTGAGCGCCATGGACTCCCCTTTCCTCTTTTTTATCCTCTTCTTCTCCAAGCGCTTGCAGGCATACATTTTACCTGTGGCCCGAACCTGGCAGGCACAGACCTGAGGGACGAGAAGGTCACCAAGGTCACAGAGGCACTGCAATGGTCTGCCGGAGCCCCTCCATGTTCAGGATGCATTAGGGCCACAGCACACTAGGCCACTGCTGCCCTGGCCCTGGCCTTGTGAGCATTTGAAGGTTCAGGACCAGCCTTTCATATAAATGTCTAGCAGAGGCTTTAAAGCACCATCCCCCTCACAGAAAGGACAACAGAACTTTCTCTTGCAAGCTGCTGGCAGGAGAGGTTTCATTTTGGTCAGTGAAGGAGGCCTTCGAGAATCCCAACTTTACAATTCAGGGCAATGGCTACCGGACATTTGGGCTCTAGTTGTAGTTCTGCTCCTTACTGGCTGTGTAACCTTAGCGGGAACACACAACTATTCTGAACTTCAGCTTCTGTCATCTCTAAAATGGGAACAACAAGGCTTGACCTCACACATGGGGTCCCAGTGTGAGAGCACCTGGCAATTGCAGCATCCCTGCCTCCACATCTCTCTCCTGGAATCATCTCAGAGATGAGCCCATCTCTCCCCAGAGCATCCCTGCCTGAGGCTGGGTAGAGGCTGACTCCAGTTCACTTGTCCAGTGCTCCTGCCAACACCCCCTTTCCCTCCCATTCACATCCCAAGTGCCCCAGGGCCTGGGGCCCTCCCCTCCCCACTGCCACCAGATGGCTCCAAGAAGCCCGGCTTAAGAGACACTCAGGGCAGATCTAGGAGGGACAGGAAGAGCACACAGAGCCCAGGAACTTTCAGCAGAGAGCACTATAGTTCACTTACCTCCCCGAAGCCCCCTTTCCCCAGCACTCGGTACTGCCTGAAAGTGTTTTTGGTCACCGGTTGCCTGGAAAGAAGCAAGAACCTGACATTGGTCTCCTTGAGTTACAGTTCAGGAGCCACAAGAAATGGACCTGGGCACTGCTGAAAGCAGCTGTGGAGGCACAATCCCCAGACCTCTGATCACACCAGGGGTCCCCAGAAATCACTGCTGCAGACTGGATCTTCCAGGGCTTACTCTTCAAGGGTTGGAGTTCATATCCCAGGCTCCTGGCTCTGATGGCCAGCATCTGAATGGCCTTGGCTTGGTCAGCAGGGTGGGGCGAGGACTTGAAAAATAAGTCCGGAGTGCTAGCTGCACCCCATAGGGTGTCTCTCTCCGAAAATACAGGGAGAGCAGAAGGGGCCCCAGAGGAGGCCTCTAAGGATGGGAGGAGACCACAACCCTCCCTCGCCTGCACAAAGCAGACCACTGTTCCTCTCCGATAGCACCTGTAGCCCCTAGTGACAAATCTGCTAGCTTCAAGGTATTCTTTCCGATCATCAATCCCCAACCATTCCCCTACTGGGAACCCTTGATTATATTTCCCTCATTCATTTAGGATGCTAGAAGATCGTGAATGTCCGTGAATGAAGTCATGAAGTAATCATCACACTGTGTCTCCTGAAACCCCATTTTAACTAGCCAAACCCACTTATCACACCTAATCAGACAGTTCAGACTTCCAGGAGCTAGCAAGTAAGAGGCCATCTAGTTGAACCAGAGATTCCATGAGGAGAGAGCTTCCTTTTCGTCCCTGGCTTGTTTGGCAATGAACAATCATTTTAGAATGTGAAAACTGGCTCTTAGGTCTCCTGGACTGTGAGCAGCCCTCTTCCCAGGAGCCCTGACCAGGGGCTGAAGGGAGACTGACTTGGGCCAAAAAACTAGGTCAGCTGAACAAAGCGCAATGTACCTCCAACTGCCCAGCAGCTCTTGAACCAATGCATCTTGTGCAGAATCCTTTTAGTCACTGGGGCTGATAACGGTTTGGATTTTACTGGTAGCCACATCTGCAGAACCCTGGATATTCTTGGGATAACTTTGAGAAACCAGAGCATTCTGGGGCCTCCACCACTCCAATTCACATGCCACGACTCACTGGTGTTCTCAAGGGGCATGGCGCCCACTCCCCATGGACAAAGCTGCCCCTCTGCAGCCCCTTCCTTTTCTTCCTCTGCACAGAGCGCTCAGGCGGCCTAAGAGTAAATCCACCCTGCGCTGGCACCCGCCATGCGGCCCCGGGAGCCTTTCCTACAGCTGCCCTCGAAACCACATGAAGGCGGCCAGGGCCTAACAGTTTACGATACATGGAGAACAAACAGTCAGTCGACATTACCACAGAACTCGTCGGCTAGGGAGAAATGAGTGTAATACAATTTCCCAGGAATTTCTTGGTTAACCTTGGAAGGGAAAAAAAAATCTCTTTAATATTTCAACAGTACAGCACTAACAGGCCATGATCTTGTTTAGAAAAAGAAAAATGGGAGGAAGGCGAGGTGCTGTCAGTCATCTGGGGCATTGCTAGGCTAGGATCCTGCCCTGTTGGCTCCAAAACCCTAATGCATTCTGAAGGATGATCTCTTAACTTCTTTGTAGTCAGTGCACAGAGTAGAAATGTGCATTTCATACAGTTGGTACAGGCGAGGAAGATGAAAGCCAGTGGCCACAGTATTCCATAGGAATCACAGTGCTCGGTGGACTAAGAGCTGAGAGCCTGAGTGAGGGACACTGAGTTCATGCGTTAGCCTTGCCAGGCCTTTGTGTGTGGCCAGGGCCCACCCGTCAGCCTCTCTGAGCCCTTGCATCGCTGGTAAATGGAGACAATGAGACAGCCTGTGTATCCATCCTGGGGTCCCTTGTAAGCTGCTGTTTGGAGTGTTGGTGTCAATATTTGAACCCCTTAGAGTGAAGGGCTGAACTCTTCTTGGGGTCTCTAGATAACAACACTCCTGCTCAGTGCACCTGTACGTAGGCTCCAATCACCCTGGCACTGGCCTCAGGAGGTGGGACTATTCTGTTCCTACTCTAGCTGAGAACAACTGGGCTTCAGGAGATGGAATGAGCTGCTGGGCTCTGGCTGCCATGTACTGAAGTGGGATTATGGTCCCACCTTCCAGGGCCACCCTGCCACCCTGGTCAGGCAGGTGCAGATCAGGGTTGTATGTTACACAGCCCAGGGCTCCAGGGCAGGGATGCATGTGATGAAATACATCCCCACCAGCATGGGCTGCTGAGTCCTCAGAACTAGGACAGAGCCTGTGGCAAGGCTGGCCACTCACTCACTATTGAATGGAGAGGCAAGGGCACTGCAGGCCCCACGGTGACTGCCAGAAGTTGATGGTCTGCAGCCGAATGCCTGCCTTCTGCACAGTGGAGCCTTGTTCCAGCACTTGCTATGGTATTTTATCTCATTCTCACCCCTAGCTTATGATGCTGGCATGATTACCCCCCATTTTCCAATGAGGGAACTGGGGTGGTGAGGTGAGCTACCCAACAGAGGCCCTCCTCACAAAGAGGCAGCCGGGACTCAGACCTGAGGCTCTGGTACTCAGCAGCGTTTCTGGGCTGACTTTCCCCGCTGAAGCCCTCCAGAGGCTCTGATGTGCAGGTACAGGGTGGCCAGTGGTGGTTATCAGGCCAACAGAGAAGACTATTCTTTGGTCACTGTGTCACTACTCTAGCCAAAGTACAGAGCAATGTCCTGGCTAGTGGCTGCAGGCAGGGTGCTTCGCCAGGGAGGTTCTTTCTGGTGGGCACAAGGCAGGGCTGCAAATGCACTTCGAGGGGGCTCCAGGCCTGCAGCCTTTTAATCGACTGTAGGGGACCCAGTTTGCAATGATGCTGGACTACATGCAGGTGGAGGGCAGGATGGTTCCCTGCTCTGACCATGGAGTGTCTTGAAGGTTCTGAGTCCCAGAATTCCTGGGGAAGGGACCATGGGCTGTGAAAGGGGATGCTTCCACCTTTGTCTAACAGTTAGCAGCACGGATTTAGGGCCAGCAATTTAATCACACTGTTCCACAAATCCTGCAACATCATAGTGGATTGAGTACTGTACTGAGGGTTCTGGGTCAGGGGAGCCCCTCAGCTGCATACTGGTTGACAAGGCAATGTCTCTCCTCTACCTCATTAGTCATGGGGAGACGGCCATGCAACGAGAGCACTTTGAAAAGAACAAGACAGCAAATAAGCCATGAACAGATGCCTGTTATCACCTGTGAACAGAAAGATGGAAACTAAACTATAAGGAAAACCAACAGCTCCTTCCCCAGGAGGAAATCAATGCTGATGAAGCTGGGGAGAAGCAGGCGCTCAGGCAGAACTGGAGACTAAGGGTGGCTGTTTTGAAGGGTAACTCAACAGTCACTTACAGTATATAATCAGGTGCCTTTTGACTCAGAAATGTCTATGCTAGGAATTTTTCTACATGCACATGCAAAAGTACTTAAAGATGTATGTACAAAGTTATTCATTATTTAGAGAAGGCTGCACAAAAAATTGAGAAGTCTCAATATCCATCAACAGGGCATTGGGTTAAACAAAGGATGCACTATTTCAAAGAACTCTAATTTGCTAGCAGAGAAAGGTTAATCCCCAAAGAAGCAAGAATTTATGAAGCCTGCAAGAAGCCTGAATTTATGTGCACTTTAAAAAACACAGAGTAACTAGTTCCAGAACAGGGGAAGTAAGGTTCATCCTATTGTAATCACGGATCCCTGGGAAATAACTGGTTTTTTATACAGTCTCAGATGAAAACCAGCGCCCTCATCTCTCTCATTTGGATGCTGTCATGTTGGGGTGTGGGCCACTTACCTCTCTAACCACTTCCACTGGAGAAAGCGGTCAAAATACATGCTGTCCAGGTATTCGTGGAATGGTTCTCCCCTCAGGTAGTCATGGACAGACCTAGCTCAGACGGACAGAAGGATGAGCGTGTTATAACTCCAACCTCAAGTCTTTGGCATGCAAACAAACAAAATCTTACAATGATGTGGCACATCTGTCTGTGCCTTGCCTCTCTGCTGAAGGTTGTTTTAAACTGGTTGATCCTGTGACATTTAATTGGTGCCTGACTCTGTTGGGCACTTGGATATAATAGTGAATTTGGGGTGAACATTTTGATGGGGGAGTACAAATAGGAAACCATAAGCATTAAAGAATCCCAGAGATGTGTTGTCATGCATTAGGGTTTGGTGAGGTCTCTCTGAAGAAGAGACCCATGGGAAGAGATAAAGACTTACTAAGGCATGGGCAGGGTTGGGGGAAGGACTCAGAGGAAGTAGGGGTGGGGAGTGGGGACACAGCTCCTAAGGGATTTGAATTTGGTCTGGACCAACAAAACCACTGTGAGTTTGTCACGCATGCAGCAGAATTTGCTGGTCTTTTGGTGTGGGCCAGGTGCCAGGCTAGGGTCTTGGTTACTGGGGACTCCTCTGTGTCTTAGGCCACCAGAGAAGGGCCTGGGAAATTTCAAACTGGGCTGTAGGCAGGATCAAGCTGCTTCCCTTTGCAAAAGGGCCATTTATCTCAGGCACCTGGAGATGGGAAGGGACCATGGCAGCTTGAGGACCTCAGAGGTCATATCCTGCCAAAGCTGAAAGTAGGTCAGTGTGGGAGGCCAGGATGGCCTTTCCTCAGGGGCAGAGTCAGGGTGCCCCTGGCTACTGCTGCCCATCTCTCCATAGCACCTAATGCAGGGGTGGGCCCAAGGCAGCCTTCGCCAAATATCAGTTCTCACTGCAGCCCTCCAGCTCCTCCTTTGGCCCTTGCAGTTGCTGGCTTTGTTCTGTAAGGTCTATGAAGGCCAGGACTGTGGTCCTGTTCACCTTGGGATCCCTCAGAGCTAGCACAGGGCTAGGTACACAGCAGATATTCAGTGTCTGCATTAACTGCACAAAAGCTCTCCGGCTCATCCAGTTGTGTGAGGTGACACACAGGGTGTACTGATGTGCTTGTGTGTGTCAGTCCTTGGGCCGGGGAGTGCGTGTCGAGGCAGTGGCAGGGTTCATTGGTGCCAACTTGCCCTCCCCTCCCCCAGGGTGGCCCTGGAGCCTGCTAACAAGATATAGGGCTGCTGTGCTGGTAGCCCATGCACCCTCCAGCATCAGTGCTGTCTGGTTGTGATGGTAACAGTGGTGGGGGTCTGGGAGCCTAGGAGGGAGTTCCAGGCCATCCAGGTAGGGATGAAGGTTTTGCACATTCCTCTTCCTCAATAGGCTGGAGAGCCAGCAGCCCTCCGCAGTCTTGAAGTAGGTATTTTCTTTGGATGTGGCACTGTATTACAGTGCTCCACTCACCTGTGGAGGCAGTTTCAGCTCCCAGTGGATGCTGAAACTGGAGAGTGTCAAATCCTATATGCTAAGTTTTTCCCCTATGTAGAAACCTATGATAAAGTTTACATATAAATTGGGCACAGTATGACATTAACAATTATTAATGATAAACTAGAACAGTTATAGCAATACACTGTAATAAATTAAAACTCATGGATTGCTTAGTCTTGGAATTTTCCATTTAATATTTGCAAACCACATTTGACCATGTGTATCTAAAACTGTGGGAAGCAAACCCATGGACATGGGGAAACGACTATATACAAATAACTGGGGGGCTTGGCTGGAGCCCCAGGCACTGAAGGTCTAACAGGGGGAGACACAACAGCAGCCCCTTCCCTGGTGGCACAATGCCCCCAGCCCAGGTTGGCCAGATTGGCAAAGAACTTACTGTGCACAGGCGGAAAACAGCTCTTTACAGGGTCTCTGCAGGAGCTTGGCCTCTGTCTGGGACACCAGGTCTTGGCTGACTTGAGCGATGAAAACTGGGGACTGGAAGGAAAAAAGACAGGAAAGAGGTTAGTGACGAATGCGGTGGCTGGAGGTGCCCTACATGCCGGACTCTGGGTGAAGGTACTTGGGCTGCTCAGCCCAGTGTGGGTCCATCTCCTGCCTGGGCCACATGGGCAGTGTTCAGGGCTGGGTGAGAAGGTTCGGAGCTGAGATTTAGGGGGAGATTTCCAGCTTTGCTACTTCTAAGCTGTGTAATGTCACAGAGGTCACGTGGCTCTTCTGAGCCTCATGTCTCTTGTGGCCTGGGCCTGTGGCCAGAAGTGACAAAGCATGGGAGTGCTCCCTGCACCACAATCCAGCTCATCAGTGAGCCCGTCGACTCCCCTTGGCCACTCTGGGCCTGCTTCCTCTGAGGGTAACTGTGAAGAACTCAGTCCACCCCAGGCGGGGGGGGGGGGGGCGCGGGCAGGCTAGAGGGTTTGCAGTGGGAAGTGCGAATGGGCGGGAAGCTTCAGGAGGGGCCGTGGGTAGGTGTGAACTCAGTGGCTGTGGGGAATAGCACTGCAGCTGACAGACCTGGGTTTGAATCCTAGATCTGCTACCTGTGGCTGTGGCACCTTTGTTTTAATCACTCAGCTTTACTGTTCTCAGCAAGCTGATAGAGAATACTATTTTCTTCCAGAAGAATTCATGAAATGTTCAGGTTGAGCAATGTCCCGATCCTGCCATGTAAGTGGTGAAATAAATGTTACCGCTGTTAGCTCATTCCAGTAACTGGGGTGGAGTGCTGTTGTGTATTTCAAATTGGAAAAGAACAGTCTGGGAGTCTCTTTGTCTTATGAGGAGCAGTAGTGGCCTCACCCACCAGTCCGCTCCTGGCCATTCACACTCCACCAGCTGTTCCCTGGGCCTGACTTACCAGCTGGGTCTCAAGGTAGGGTTTTAATAAATTACAGGGAAAATTGTGAAAATTGCCGGGAGTGGGCTCAGAAAGACAGCATGTAAATGCATCTTTCTTCCCAAAGGATGCTGAAATCTGAAAGGCATGCTTTCTCTTCTAGCTACTGAGATGACTGCCTGCTTGGTTACTCCGCTTAGTCTGTTAGACAGTGCCTGCAGGGGATTGAATTGGGGGTGGCGAGGGAACCTGGCAACAGCTGGTTGATCCCTGACGTATTAAATCAGTGGCTTGTTTTCTATTCCCCATGGTTCTGAATAGTCAACCCCCCCCCTTCCTTTTTTCCTAGCCCTAGGCTTTCTGTAAGTTCACCCCTGTCCTGGGGTCTCCTGCAGACCCTGCATGGGAGGCAGCCCAGTGTCAGTGCAAAGCCATGGACATCAAGCACCAACCTTAAGCAAATTTCCCTGACAGCTTGTCATGAGCTCTTTTGGTGGTGGCAGCTGTCTCTCACCTTTCTCTACTCTGTCCTGGACCATCCCTCCTCCACACAACTCAAAACCACAATCTATAGGGCAGAGGCTTAATATTGCTGAGGGAGGCCAGGGCCAGAGTCAGGAGCCTAGGCAGGCTCAACCTGACCTCCTGCCTTGGCCATTTTGTGGCCCCATGTCCTTGTCTATCATAGGAAGGAGCTGCTCCTAAGATGCCCTGAGGCTCCTTGGAGATTTGGAAATTGGTGGTTGGGAAGTTTTATTTTATTTTATTTTTTTGTTTTGTTTTGTTTTTTTGCTCCTAAGACTTAGGAAAATTTGGGATAATTCTGCAAGTTCAGACTCTTAGGAATCAGATAACTACAGGCTACTTCAGAGCAATCAAATATAAGGACAAACCACTGGCCATGGGCAAGTCTGCTTCAGGAAGAAGAAGGCTCATCTCTGGGGCGATCTCGGTGGGGAGGGCACAGTACATGGCTCAGACGGATACCCACTGCATATTTGTTAGCAGGCTGGAGAACACAATGTGTGTGCCAGGATATCACTTGTACCTGGTGCAAGTCCACAAAGATGAATAGAGATGCTGGATGTGTGGGTGGTGAGGGGGGACTGGAAACATTTCTTGGACCGGAAGAAGAGGATCCTGAGCTTCCCATCTGTGTATACTTGGATGCACAGAATTTTGCTAATGTTTTGCCTTCATTTTCACCCAGGGAGGACCTACTTTACCCACAATAGCTCAAGCTGAGGGCTGGCATGGGGTGGGAGATTAAAAGATGAGACCAGTGTGGTTGACAGTATCCTAACAGAAAAGTCCCCATACCTCTCAACTATTCATGGTAATATATAAAATGGCTAGTTGGAACTCAATGGCTTCTAAATTTTCCCTCTCTCTCTCTCTGAAGAAATTTTTCCTTTTCCAAATGAAATTAATCTATAGACCCAATATTTAAAACAATAAGGATGATTGGTAATAATGGGTTACACATATTACAGCGGTCAATATGCGTGAGGATATCTTAATGTCAATCTAATATGCTCTGTGAAGTAGGTATTAATATGGTGCCCATTTTGTAGATGAGGAAACTGAAATTCATAAAGGTTAAGCACCTTCCTCAAGATCACACAGCCAAGAAGTGGTAGTGGAGATTTGAACCCAGGTTCAAGTCACCTCCCACCTCATCTCTCAGGAGGCTCCTGAGTGACCTTAGCTCCTGGGGTTCCACAGAGTCAGTGTGAAGACCAGGCACCATAACGTCCTGTGAGGCCAGTAGAGATGGTGCCACAGTTCAGGGCCACAAGACACAGGGCTAGCAGGAGGGAGAGATCACGGTGGGCTGGGGTCACCTATGAAAGGTTTCATGGGGGATGGAGTCAGAGACAAAGCAAAACCAGGCCTCAGGTCTCCTAGCTCTTGTGGGCCTGCCACTGCAGTAGAGGACAGCAGCTGGACTCCCTTCTCAGCAAGTAGCAGCGCTGTGTAGTGTCTAGTGGTGCAGTCACGCCATGCTCCTATGTGGGTCGACTGCACACAGGCAAATCTCTGGCAGGGGAATTGGCCTTTAGTTTAATGACCACTGCTTTAAACTCTGCCTTTTGCTCAACATGAAGAGAGTAAGTGATTCCTACCAAAACTCCTTTCAAGTGACTCCAGTGAGTGACAACTTTGCTAACAAGAAGGAACCAGAAGTTGCTAGCCAGTGTAAGTCTGGAACATAAAACTCAACCTCACCAGTAGAGTACAAGGCAAGCAGCCACTTGAAGAGCATTTCAGTTGGACAGTTACTGTTGAACCCATGGAATCTGCGAGTGTTTGGTCCTCCCCCTCCGCTCAGAGCTCTGTTGCAAAGTCAGAGCTATAAAAAGGCCCTTCAGGATATTTCAGCATATGCAAATCAGTAAGTATAATACACCACATTAATGGAACCAAGGACCAAAACTATAAGATCATCTCAGTAGATGCAGAAAAAGCATTTGACAAATGACAAAAGCTCTAAAGAAAATTGGAATAGAAGGTATTTATCAAAATCTGATAAAAGTCATCTATGATAAACCAACAGCCATGCTGAGTATTTAGCTCAGCAGCATAAGCGCCGGCCTTGCAAGTGCGAGGTGGTGAGTTCAATATCCAGTACCAAAAAAAAAAAAAAAAAAAGAATAAAGGAATATAATTTCAGATTATTAAAAAAAGCCAACAGCCAACATCATATTGAATGGTCAAAAATTGAAAGCTTTCACTCTAACATTAGAAACAAGACAAGGCTTCCAAGACAAAAGAGGAACTTGGGAAATTCACAACCACCAATCCAAGACTACAGAGAATAAGCAGGGCATTCTAGAGAGAGAGAAAAGTACTAGGATTCCAGGAACAGTGGCAGAGAGGCCTCAATGAATGGAGCAGAAAACAGAATGAAGAAGATAAGCAAACAACTGTGGCAAACAAGAGCATAACAGAAATGGGGCAGAGAAGATTTTATTCAAAACTGATATGATTGATAATATCAAGTCTGAGAGTATAGGCAACTACACTGAAGATGACATGACTCTACGATACACATTCTGGTTTGATAACTGCCGGTTTTTGAAGTTCTATACTATATACAAAGTTATGTTTTTATTAATACTGTTATGTACTGATATATTCAATTATACTATGTCTGATGATATAGCCAATTCTATTGGAGATACCAAGAGACAACACAGGAAACATGGTAGAACTCTTTGTACAATGGTCTTATATGTTTATTTCGTTTCATGTGTTTATAGGAATATGTTTTGTTTTGCCATGCTTTGTTTTGTTTCTCCCTCTAATAAAGGATAGAAATACATGTTAAGACTCATGCATGTGCAGAATCTGTAAACAGTTTATGAGAACAGATCTTATGACACATGATGAAATGAACAGATACTTTGAAGAAAAAGAGACACTAAAATACCCAGTGCTGATCCTGGAGTGTCATAATGTGAAACCCAGAAATAGTATTAGTCTTTGTTCAGAGTGATATTAGCCTGCTTGAGTTTATTCAATGTCAACATAATTGAAGATATGGATAACTGCATGTATGTTTAAGTGTATAGGATTGATAACCATATTTCTAAGTTTTTGTTGGATAGTTGAAAAGAACTGCTTGCAATCTCACTGTTTGAATCTCCACTTTATATACTCCACTTTAGTATCTTGAATTTGTAAGAAGACAATCTGTAATCATCAACTAGTGATTTCTTACTGTTTATTTTTTCTGTGAAATTATGTATTATTTCTAACTGTTTTCTGTTTTGTTTAGTCTTTCTTTAAATTTAATTTTGAAAAAAGGCATTACAGTACCCAGTGCTGATCACAGAGTGTCATGATGTGAAATCCAGCAATACTATTATTCTTTGTTCAGAATTATTTTAACCTGCTTTAGTTTGTTTAATCTAAACATAAATCAAGATATGAGTAACTGCATATATGTTTAAGTGTATAGGACTGACAACCATGTTACTAAGTTTTGTTGGACAGTTGAACAGAACTGTTTGCAGTCTCACTGTTTGAAATCCTACTTTACATGTTCCCACTCTTGTACCTTGAACAACTATTTGTAAAACGACAATATGTAAACATCAACTTGTGATTTCTTACTTTATTTTTTTCTCTGAATGTA